AGGGTCTCCCTGTAGCCCCAGCTGTCCTGGTACTCACTATGTAGACCAGGCTGGCCTCGAACTCACAGAGATCCACCTGCCTCGGCCTCTGAGTGCTGGGATTAAAGGCGTGCGCCACGCCCAGCGAGATCTTTTTTTTAAAGATTTAGAACAAGGCAGGGCTGGAGAGACAGCTCAGTAGTTAAGAGTGATCACTGCTCTGGAGGACCCAGGTTCAGTTCCCAGCACTCCCATGGTGGCTAATAAATGCCTTTAACTCCAGTTCCAGGGGAGCCAATGTTCTCTCTTCTGGCCTCTGAGGGAACCTGCATACATGCAGTGCACATGCACATATACACAAGAGGAACTGTGGGGTGTTTACCTAAGAAAAGCCCTGCTGGTTTCTGCTCAATATGGCTCTCCAAGGCCTAGGCTGAAATTCATGGTCTTTGGTCTGCTTACCTGCAGCTCTAGGACCTAAGCTGTAGGAGGGCAGGACTGTGAGGGGCAACTGCTAGCAGAGGAAAGATGTGATGGTGGTAGTCTAACTCCTAAGGGAAGTGTTTTATTACATGAAAAATAAAAATGTTGACACTTGCTACAAAAATTCTATGACCTCCAAAGTGTTGTCACTCAGAACTACTGTGCCAGAGTAAAGGGGGAAGGGGGAAATGCTGGACCCAGAAGAGGACCTGTGAGACCAGGACACTGAGATGTTTGTGCTGGGGCCAACTCAGTGTGAAGTGAGAAGAGGGCTCTCCTAGGGTACAGCTCTGTGGCCACACAGCTGGCCTGAGGTAGCCTAACCCCACTAATGCCTGATGACAGAACGTTCTCCCTGCTAAGTTCCACATAACTAACATCATGTACTCAATACCTCCCTCATTTCCACATGCTAAAAAGTCTTTCCCGGACTGGAGCGGTGGCTCAGAGGTTAAGAGCACTGGCTGCTCTTGCAGAGGACCCAAGTTTGATGCCCAGCATCTACATGGTGGCTGACAACCGGCTATAACTTCAGTTCCAGGGGATCCAATGTCCTCTCCTGTCTCCACAGGCATAATACAACACAGGTGCACTTACACACACACAGGCAATACACTCATACATATAGAAAGGTTTTTCAAGTCCAGTTAAATGTTCAACATCTCTTCGACTGGTGTCCACAGGACAGTCAAAGCTGACAAGGCTTCTCCAGTCTATCCGGATGCCCTCAGGTTTCCTCCAGTCACAACACTGGCTAGAAGACAGAGCCAGGCAGACTTGGTAGCTCAGATACAGTGGCAAGGACAGTAAAGGCCAGTGGGAAGCAAGGTGGAGTGACAGCTCCCCTACAGCAACTTGAGATAAAGAGCGTCTACGACCCTAACCTAACATCCTGGAGGGTTCCCTTCCCCAGTGGCCAGGTAGAAATGCAGATCCTTGGGTTCTGACCACAAGGTTAGGGCAACCAGAATGGTCTTGGCTTCACCTGAGCTGACTGTCACTACCAGGTCTGGGTCTGCAGCTGCTGCCAAGTGCTGTTCTGGGTGGTGGGTTTTTTCTTTATTTTTTGGTCTTTTTGAGACAGGGTCTCCTTGTAGCCCCAGCTGGCCTGGAACTCACTATGTAGACCAGGCTGGCCTGGAACTCACTATGTAGACCAGGCTGGCCTGGAACTCACAGAGATCTGCCTGTCTCTGCCTCCTGAGTGCTAGGAATAAAGGCGCACACCACCATTCCCAGCTTTTTTGTGTATGAGTGTATTGCCTGCATGTACGTGAGTGCACCCGTGTTGTGCAGTGCCGCAGATGTCAGAAGAGGGCGTCAGATTCCCCTGGAACTGGAGTCAAGGACAGTTCGTAGATACCATGTGGGTGCTTGGACTCAAACCCAGGTCCTCTGCAAGGGCAGTCAATGCTCTTAACCACTGAGCCATCTCTCCAGCCCCAGTTTTTCTTTTTTTTAAAAAATATGTTATTTAGGGGTTGGGATTCAGCTCACTGGTCCTCAGCTCCAGGGGGAAAAAAAAAGACAAAACAAAAAATGTTAATATTTTTATTTTATGTGTATGAGTGTGTTGCCTGCATGTGTCTAAGTGCACCAGTGTCATGCAATGCCTACAGAGGTCAAAGGAGGGCATTGGATACCCTGGAACTGGAGTTATAGACAGTTGTGAGCTCCCATGTGGGTGCTGGGAATCAAACCTGGGTCCTCTGCAAGAGCAGCCAGTGTTCTTAACTGTTGAGCCATCTCTCCAGCCCCTGGGTGGTGGGTTTTTAAGGTGCATCAACATTTAGCAATTTCTGAGTTGGATATGGTAGCAAATCCATGTAATCTTAGCACTTAGGAGGTAGAGGTGAGGAAGACTGAGTTCAAGGTCATTCTTGGTCATACAGTTAGTTTGAGATCAGCCTGGGCTACATGGGATCCTGTCTCAAAAAAAACCCACAAACAAAAAAGCAACTTTAATGCCAATCATACCATTATCACTGCTTTGAAATGTTTCAAAGATCAACTGGGAACAAGTTGGGAAATTGTTGGGACCAGTGAACTCAGTGGTGATTTAGCTAATTCTCACTACCTTGATCCTTGGAGGATCCTTGTCTTGGGCCTGGGGTGCAGGTTCCAGTTAAAACTTGTGGGAAACTTCCTGGCCTAATCCTTTAAAAAAAAAAGGGGGGGGTTCCCTAAATTAGAACATTCTGAATTTCACTCCCTCGAACAGTGACTCTTGAAAATACGGCATAGCCACATGCAGGAGGTTCACAGAACATTAAACATTGGTGTGCAATTTTTCCTGTGGCTCATTTAAGAGAACTGCTAGCTCAGTCCTGCCATCTGGTGCATCAAAAGCCACCAGGAGAAAACACACAGGCGCTGTCTGGACCAGTACCTCTGCCCCTGGCTCTTGGAGAGCGCCCTCTTACCTGGTGATCCCATCTGGGGTTAGAAGCTTTTCAACTCGTTTCCGGCACTTTTACTAGCACGCACTGACTAAAGTCTCAGGCCAGACAAGACTGAGCTGGCTTCCACCCCTGCCGCTCTGGGCAATAGCCACTAGGCCACAAATGACCAGCTCAGACGGAAGCAGGACCTGCTGCAGTGGGGGGAGGGCAGGCTCCCCAAGGCACTTGCTGTCCTCAAGGAAATTAAGCCCAAAACACAAAGGGAAAGAACGGCAGCCCAACACTCACCCGGCAGGCGGTTGCAAGTCACCCTGACTCTCGGGATCGGCCCTGGCCTGCAGGCGCTCCGGGCCCGGGGCTTCTGGACCCAGGGGAAGTCCAGCGCCGGGGCCTCGGCCCACGCGCCACGAGGGAGGCCACAGGGACTGCACAAGAGGCGGAGGGACGGAGAAGGAAGCGGAGCGCACGGAGACGGGCGCCGAGGGAAGAGCGGCCGGAAGCCAGGCAGCGTGGGCGGAGGGCGGGAGGCCCACAGGAGGCCGGCCGTACCAGCCGCTCCTACTCGCGGTCTACGTCACTCACACACCTGGGTGTGACCACCCTAGTCCGCACGGGCGCCCCGGAGCCCGCCGCCCACCTGCTTACCTGCGCAGCGAGGTCGGCCCGCCGCTCCGCCGGGCGCGGGGTCCAGTCAGCTCCCACAAAGGGTCGCCATGGCGCCGCCGTGCGCCCGCCGATTGGTGGAGCGCGGGGCGGAGCTCCGTTCAAACCCTCGAGGGGCGGAGCCTCCGCCGACCAGGGCTCCCGCGCGCTACCGCTAGCCGTTGGGCTCCCGCGTTGGGCCGCCCCGCCCCCAGATCCCACGTCGGCCCGGCCAGATCCCAGGTCTCCGCGCGCCAGACCCCGCCCTCAGTTCCCAGGTCTCCGCGCGCCGACCCCGCCCCCAATTCCCAGGTCCCCGCGCGCCAGGCCCCGACCCCGGTTCCCAGGTCTCCGCGCGCCAGGCCCCGCCTCCAGGTCCCAGGTCTCCTCGCGCTTCGCCAGCTTCCCTCGTCCTTCTTCCAGGTGTACGAGCCTTTCTTACTGCGCTTGCGCTGTAGCGGTGGGCTTGCGCTGCCTTTCCCCATCTTGCGCTGGGGTTGCCAAGTTCACTTGCGAGGACCAAGTGATGATGGCGGAAGGCACTGGAGACTTTGATGTGTCAAAGGGATGCTCGTGGCTCCGTAGTACGCCTCTGCCCCGAATGCATGGCCTTGGATGGAGGTTCAACACCGAGAAATAGAAGTATAATATCCTGGGTCGCCATTGATTTGGGGGAAGCTAAGTGGCTGCTAATTGCCCCGCGAGGTGAAAGGAAAGTAGGGACTGGAGGTTGCAACATCTAAGTAACATGAAAGAAGCCAGCTAGCACGAAAGACCTGAAACCCTATTGCCGCCCAATTTAATGTACTCCATTATATATACAATAAGGCCTGTAGTCTGTCTCCACGTGACCTTCAGTGTGGGTCCATCCTCTGCCGCCTGGTTAACCTACCAAAAAAGAGACTTTAAAAGAGACTGTTTCTGCCCCTCCCAGCAGCCATCTGGTGCCACAATTTCCTTAGGTGGGGTTGGAGTTTCTGACCCTCTTCCTCATGTCTGTGCTGGGATTTTTTTCTGGTTTGAGCTTGCATGGGACTTGTGCATGCTGTCACAGTTGCTGTGAATTCATATGAGTAACTGATCTGCTGTCTGAAAAACTTTCCTTGTCATCCATAACCTCTGCTTCTTAACAGTCCCAGTGTGAGCCCTCACCCCTCTCCACACACTGCTTCCATAGTGATCCCTGAGCTGTGGAGGGGCAGAAGTTTGATCTAGCTTGTCCTATCCAGGGATGAGCACTCTGCAGCCTCTTGTTTTTTGCACATTGGCCAGTTGTGGGTTTCTGTGTTAATCATCTGTTGCATAAAGAAACGGTCTGGTGAGAGTTGAGAGATGCATTAATCTATGGATATAACAATAAGTCATTAAGAGTCAATTTAATGCAATAACTGCTTAGTAAAAAAATAGTATTAGGCTCTCCCCTATGTCCTGTGAGCTGTCCAGCCTCAGATTCCTAAGCCTGGTGTCTATCAGGTATGGGCTCCATCCTGGGAAGCAGACCTTGAATCCAACTAGAGAATGGCTGGTTACTCCCATAATATTTGTGTCACTATTGTACTGGTGGTGCCTCTTACCAGGGCCAGTTGTTGTTATAGGTCACAGGATTCACAGCTACTAGCCAACTTCTAGTCTTAGGACTTTTTCCTTTTTTTAAGGGAGGACTTTAATGTTTTTATTTTTAGAAAAGCATATATCTTTTATTCAAAAGTATGTTTTTATTTTATGTATCAGTGTTCTGCTAGCATAATGTAAGTGTACCTTGTGCATTACAATATCTGTGGAGGCCAGAAGAGGGTGTAACTTCCCTGGAACTGGAGTTATGGATGGTTGTTAGGGGCCATGTGGGTCCTAGGAACTAAACTCTGGTCCTCTATAAGAGCTGCCGATGCTCTTAATCTTTGAGCCATGTCTCCAGCCAGCACCCCCCCCCAACTTTTTGTTTTACTTGAGACAGGGTCTCTCAATGTAGTTCTGGCTGACCTGGAACTCACTATGTAGTGAGTCTGGCCTTGAACTCACAGAGATCTGCCTGCCTCTGCCTCCCCAGTTCTGGGAAGAAAGGAATAGCCACCATGGCTAGCTGGTGTTAATCATTTTATATATGGTATTAATCATTTTATATATGTCATTTTTATCTTTTCTTTAAGAAATATGTGTGTAGGGGCTGAAGAGATTGCTCAGTGGTGAAGGCCACTGGCTGGTCTTGCAGAGAAACCAGGTTCGATTTCCAGCACCCACATGGTGGCTAACAACCATCCATAACTCCAGTTCCAGGGGAAGCTGATACCCTCTTCTGACATCTGTGTGCATTGCATAACACAGGTGCACTTATATATGTGCAAGCAATACACTCATAAAATAATAAATAAAAATGTTTTGTAAAAAATTCATATGTAGCTGGGTGTGGTGGCACACGCCTATAGTCCCAGCACTTGGGAGGCAGAGGCAGGCAGATCTCTGTGAGTTCAAGGCCTGCTTGGTCTACACAGTGAGTTTCAGGCCAGCTGGGGCTACAGGGA